AAAATAATGCAAAGAATCAAAAAATAACAGGCTAAAAAAACCAGCTCAGCACCAAGTGGACATTATTGGCCAAAGTCATGCCATATCAAAAAATTAATTAAAGGAGAATTACAATGAGGTTTAAAAAATAATTATTAAAAAGTCTCAATAATAATTTAAATAGTCTATAATGACAAGTTTAATAATAAAAAAATAACAGTTTTTAATACTTGTTTTATAATTAATTTTTTTAATAGGATCTTATTGTAATTTTTCCATTAATTAACAGGCCCTATCTAATTATTTCTCTTTCAAAATCAATTTCATGTTTACAAATTAAGGTGGAAACAATTAAATAAAATAAAGAATAGAGAATTACAATCAAGTCCCATGCAAGAGAAATAATTACTAAAAAGTCCAATAACAACTCGAGCAGTCTATAATAACAAGTTTTAGAGCGGGAAATAACAACTTCTAAGACTTATTTTATAATTTTTTTTATATAAAATCTCACTGTAATTCTCCCAGCCAAAAAAAGATGTGTTCATTGCTCCGTGATACGAAACTTTTTAAGTTCCACGTCTAATCAATATCAGGGCCAAATTTGTGTCCTGCTCAATAATACATGAGATATATCAATCCAAAAAGTTCATTTTGTCTTTATTTTAACTTACACATGAATTGATAATTAAACTTCAAAATTTAGGCTGCTGGTTTGCTAATATATCATGAACAGGTTCAAAAATATTAATCAAGTTATTCATTACATATCTTCTGCACCAACCCCAACCCCGAGTATTTAATGCTGTTGCATTCTCAAAGCTTGATCTTAAAATCTCCGATTAAACTTGTACAACTCCTTATTAGTTGAAGGAAGTACTTGGGGGGATTATACATTCATTTCTTATAAGTGAAGGTTGAAGATGAATCAGTGAGAGTGTATGTATATACAGCTATGTAATGATTAGAATATGGTGTTTGGATTGAAACCAAACTATAGTTTCAAAAGTGTTTTTACGGTTTACGAAATAAATATGTAAAGAAGTTTGTCTCTGAGAGGTGGATTTGATTTCAGAATCTGTCCTACATCCCAATTCCCAACATGGGTCACCAAGATAACGTTATTTCCTATTCCACGCCTCAAATGATACATGCACGCCTTACAAAACAAACTCGGCCTACCCTCTCAATATATAAAGTACTCCTCCAGTCCTTAATATAGGACCTAATTCTTGAATTAGTTTTGGTTCTAAATATAAAACCCATTTTTCATATTTATCAATTTTCTCTAAATTACCCCTATGGATACTCCCTCAACCATAATCAAGTAGAAGAGGGAGAAGGAGGTATTAAGAAAAATGATTATGGTGTTTTAGGAAAAATGTGTCACTTTTCTTATGATTAACTAATTTACCTAATTTCCTTAATCTAATCAAATTAGTTAAATGGGTCTTATATTAAGAACCGGAGGAGTACTATTTTTCATCATTAATATTAATATAAGAGCTGGTTAATTAATTTGAATAGTTTAAGAAAACTAATTAAATTAGTTATTTATAATAAATATGTGTTGTTTTTACAAAAATATCCTTACTAATCAAGTGTATTACTTAAAACTATTGTTATTATAAAGACTATCTTGAAGAAAAAAAAGATGAGTATGAGAAGCAAAGTGGATTGGGATTTTATATTTAGAATCAAAATAAAAGTCAAACGAGTTCTTATATTAAGGATCAGAGATAATATTATATTTATATATATATCACTCAAGTAACAATACTTCTAATTTGACCGACAATATTCACGTTTAACATAATATTGCCAGATATCAAATAACTGTATATAAGCAAATAATGATACTAGTAAAAAAATTTATGACTACTATATCGTATTAATAAGATTCAAATATCATATCATGATGACTCAATTATGTTTAAGACCAACATTCAACACCCTATTATTATTTTTTAGTAACATTGAGTATCATAATTTTATTTATGGCGTATCTAGCATACTAGCACATTGATGTTGTTTTCCTGGTGCACCCGCACCCATCAGGCCATTACTCTTTGATTTTATCTTCCAGTTATACTCCTCCGGTCCTTAATATAGGACCCAATTCTTGAGTTGGTTTTAGTTCTAAATATAAGACCCATTTCTCATATTTATTAATTTTTTCTAAATTACCCCTATGGATCCTCTCTTAACCATAATCAAGTAGAAGAGGGAGGTGGGATATTAAGAAAAATGATTATGGTGTTTTAGGAAAAATGTGTCACTTTTCTTATAATTAACTAACTTACCTAACTTCCTTAATCTAATCAAATTAGTTAAATGAGTCTTATATTAAGGACCGGAGGAGTATTTAATATCATGATCTTATTTATAGTTTAGGAAAATAGATGTATTATGAATAAGATTAGGATATTAAAAGTTGAAAGTATTAGAAAAATAAGCACCATACATGAGATCAATCAATAAAGTCAAGTGTTAGATCCAAATTAATTTTATTTAGGGAAATTACAAATAAAGACCTCCAATATGTAAAATTATGACTTAGGATCCTGAATTTGAAAAATAGCAAATAAGGACCTGGTCTCACTTTTACAAATATGAAATATGAGTGAAATCTCTGAAATACCTCTCAGCCAACTTGTATTTGGTCTACTGAAATTGTTATTCGTTAAAGTGAATTTGTCATTTAGTCAACTCGTCATTTAGCATACCCTTAACCAAGTTGTAATTTGGTCTACTGAAATTGTCATTCACTAAAGTAAATTTGTCATTTCTCATAATCAATTTGTCATTTAGTTGAAGGGTATTTCAGACATTTTACCATGATTTCATATTTGAAAAAGTAAGATCGGGTCCTTATTTACTATTTGAAATCGTAATTTTATATATTAGGAGATCTTTATTTGTAATTTCCTTTTTATTTATGTGGTTTAAACTTTTGACAATGTCTTCTTCTGAGCCCAAGTCCCAACTATTATAACAAGCTCTGGGTAATTTAAGCTTATTTTTCCAGGATTGTGGTGGATGCGTTTTACACACACACAGATTTATATATATATATATATATATATATATATTAACTTTTGCGTAGCGACACAATTAATTAAGCACCGACAAAAATATCAACTGGGCATATTTTGTTTCTCACTGAATAATTATAAAAAGGTCAAAGACCACATTATAATAACAGGTTTTTTTTATTGATATAGATAGATATTACAATTATTGCTGGTCAAAAAAAGATAGATATTACAATTATTGAATCATGGATTCTAATCGGTTGATAAGCTATCAATGTAAAATATTGATTTATATAAATAACAAAACAAGAATATTAATTATGGATGTTCAATAAGCAGCCCACACTATGCTTCCAACGTTTATTTATTTTATAGAACCATGTGTTTCACAGATTGCACACTTTAATTACTGAATTATTCAACGCACAGCTCAACTACATCTTTTATTCTTTTTTTTTTTTAAATGTGGAATCTTGTAACGTATTTTTGAAAATTTAAATTTATTCAGTTTCAACAATGATAATATTCATAAAAAGGTTGGCAATGATCAAGAGTGTCTTTATCATTATCCATCTTTTCAAAGATAAGGGTCACCTTTTACCAGCAGAAAAAAACTAATCCTTATTAAATTTGCTCAATATATGCCCAATTTTTTCCGCTCAATTGATACTGCTACCTCTTTCCGTATTTAATATAAGATCTAATTCACTAATTTAAAGATATTAAAAAAATATTAAATTACCTTAAAATATTTATATTTATTATTTTTCTCCAAACAAATTAATATATAGATTTGATTCTCATATACATGGGAAATCGAATCTCAAATGATACAAACAGTGCTTGTGAATTTTACTTCTAAATCATGAGTTTTCTTTGTGATTGTGAAGATAATTTTTTCATAATAATTAACATATTAACAGTAAATCTATATCAAAAGAAAACTATTTGTGACTATATACTATTTATTTTCTTATTTATATAAAGAAATATTTTTTTAATGAACTATAGACACGATGCTTACATCATATGTGAAAAATTACTCCTAATGATTAATGATAATGTTTGCAGTTTGACTATAGTTGGCCCAAGAAAGAAAAAAATTTATAGCTTAACTAAGGGAGTGTTTGCTCAACATAAAAAACACTGTTAAAAAGTGTTTTCACGTAACTTGACACAAATTTTTTTATGCAATTATTCTTTTAAAATCATGGTTTAGTTTCCATTTAAACACCCCTAAAACTATGTGCATTAAAATTTTTAGTTGTGTGCCATAATCTGATGCCCAGTCTTTTTATTTTTTATTTTTTACTTTAATTTCAAAAAAAGTTATGACTATACATATTAAATTTCATCAAATATCGAATATAAAGTGTATAACAAGTCACATTTTTATAAGGCACAGAGAACCAACTTTTTTTTTTTAAATTGTTACGTATAAGTATTCTCCTATTGAAGATAATCTCATCAAAAGTACTATTGAATACTAAATGTGACACCTCTCTAAGTGGGATTAATTTAGTGGATAGGACACAAACAAAAACCAGCCACCATAGTTATAAACTTATAATATTTATTTTGATATATTAGTTTGTTGAACCATACGCAGACATTGTCGAGCCATATAGAGAATGCAAGTGAAATGCTAAGATACTAATATCAAGTAAGCTGACGCCGATCCTCATCAGCCTTCTATTATGACTCTCTGAGAGAGGCTGTCCTCTGGCAGCTAACACGTCAGTGACAGCTTCGTTCTCACATGCCAATCCAAATTCTCAAATCCATTTGCAACTTCATGTCTTCCCATTCAGAAAAACACGCTCTAGGAAATATCTAGCCACCCATCATTAATTCTGCTGGGTTAGACATACTATAAATACCAACCCCATTACCCATCCTTTCTTGTGCTCTCCATCTGTTTGCAGTAAATTCCTTGAGCATTTTCTCTGTGTCATTCTTTCTTCAGTACTGTTTCATTGAAGGAAAATGACGATTGAACAGTGCAAGGATGTTGAGAGTGGAGAAGCCCTTAATGGGCTTCAGGATTTGGAGGTGCCCTTGGTTCTATCAGGGAAGGACGTTGAGTCTGATTCTGAACATGATAAGGTGGAAAATGGATCCAATGGAATGGTCCTGTTCAGTACATTTGTTGCTGTCTGTGGTTCCTTCGCATTTGGAACTTGTGTAAGTATCTTTATATCGTCCCCCCCCCCCCTCTCTCAGTGATTTGAATTATGGAAAGAAACAGAAAAGAAAAGAACTGCACTTCCTCCTCCTCCTCCTCTTCTGCCTTGGAAAACTTCGTGCATGGCTTGAGTAACGTTCTGAAAACTGATAGTTACTAAGATCCAAACCAGAAATTACACCACACAAACAAACAAAAAAAGGTTTGGAGTTTTAGCTTAAGTTATTATTTTGGCAGGTGGGCTATTCAGCACCCACTCAAGCAGCTATCAGGGCAGATCTAAATTTGTCTCTTGCTGAGGTTTGTATTTTGTTTTCCTCTCTTTATTGAAACTTTCTTCATATTATATTATAGTCTTATTACAGCCTGTTTTCCTCTCCTCTTTCCGGGATGGCAGTTTTCCATGTTTGGATCTTTAGTCACTATTGGTGCCATGCTGGGAGCTATAACAAGTGGGCGGATCACTGATTTTATTGGACGGAAAGGGGTATGATTATATGCTAAATCTAAAACTCTAATACTTTTAGCCGCTTTTTCACTCTGCTAAGTCTGAATTTTCTTGGGAAACAGGCAATGAGAATTTCTGCAGGTTTTTGCATTATAGGATGGTTAGCTGTCTTCTTCTCCAAGGTATGATTTTCTGCACAATTCAAATCCATCTGAAGTTTTTCCTTCTCTATCATTATGGAATTGTTACAGAACGTTAAAAGACGCATGATTTTACCTGCTTCAGTGTTCTAGCTTTCTTGACATGGGAAGATTATTCACTGGATATGGAATTGGAGTTATCTCATACGTGGTAAGTATCCAATAAGGCCTTACCAAAAGGAGCAAAAAGATAACTTCGACACTAAGCTTCTGCTAATTAACATAATGTATATGTTGACTTTTAATGACAACCTTACAAATTTTTAACACATGTTAGCGGAATGAAACAGGTCCCTGTATATATAGCAGAAATAGCACCGAAGAACCTGCGAGGAGGACTTGCAACAACAAATCAGGTATGAGAGGAGAATTGACTGTTGTATTTCTGTTGTTTCCTAGATTGATGCTGGGTTTAATTTTGGCCTCTGCAATGATTGCTGTGCAGCTTATGATTGTTATTGGAGCTTCAGTCTCCTTCTTGCTAGGAAGCGTCACAACTTGGAGAACACTAGCTCTTGCTGGCAAGTAACATAATTACGTTTCAATTTCACTTAAAATGCATTCAGTGAGAAGATAAAGGTCTAAACTTTTGTTCTTGGTTTAAACTTTGAAGGGCTTGTGCCATGCATTTCATTGCTGATTGGTTTGTGCTTTATACCTGAGTCACCCAGATGGCTGGTAAGTATTACATTAGTATATATGATCAAAAGGGCTTTGTCTTTTAAGAGAGGAAGATAAAAATGTAATTAATAAACTGAAAATCATTGTTTCCAGGCAAAGGTTGGCCAAGAAAAGGAATTTCAAGCAGCTTTAAGGAGACTTAGGGGAAAAGATGTTGATATCTCTTATGAAGCTTCTGAAATTCTGGTACTTTCCAAGCTCTTATAACTGTTTGAACCTTTGTAAATAAGGCTTTTTAGTAAGTGTGAGACATTCCAGGGGTTGATTAACTGTTCTGTGTTCTGTAACAGGAATATATTGAAACTCTTCAAAGCCTTCCCAAAACCCAGTTTCTAGATTTGTTCCAAACCAAACACGTGCGCTCTGTAGTTGTAAGGAACTCTCTCATTTCAAGGATATTTAATCATGGGTATGCAACAATTAAAAGGATTCTAATTATATTTTACAATTCAGATTGGGGTAGGGCTAATGGTATGTCAACAACTTGTTGGAATCAATGGTATCGGATTCTACACGGCAGAGACTTTCGTAGCAGCTGGTAAACGAAAACATATGAGCTGATTTTAATACCCATAAAAGGGGAAAATAAGAGAAAGATGAAAATTCATACTTATCATGTGTAACTTGATTTGCAGGTTTTTCTTCAGGCAAAATTGGCACCATAGCCTACGCTTTTACTCAGGTTGTTGATCTTTTCCTTTACTGATTTCCTAAACATCAATCGTATAACTATATTTCTGTATAAACTCAAGTCTTCTGATAATGAATGACAGGTTCCGTTGACCGTGGTTGGAGCCATTTTGATGGATAAGTCTGGTAGAAGACCACTCATCATGGTAAATCTAATTTCAAGTGTTCTTTTTCATTCATCATCTTATAAAGCAAAGTGAAGTAGGAGCTTTGCTTGTGTTACAAACATGCTCATATTCATGCATTTTGCAGATTTCTGCAGCTGGGACATTCTTAGGCTCCTTTATGACAGGAGCTGCTTTCTTTCTCAAGGCAAGTCTTCAGTATTATATTATGCAAAAATATTAGATATAGCATTTGAGAGTTTCCAAAAAAATTTCCATGAATCATACGTTCATTAGAGAATCTAACAGCAAATACTCATGAAACTTCACCAAAGTCTGGTCCTTATCAGCTAGGTCTAGTGCTTGAGCCTCAAATCTGAACTTGTGCTATCTGATTCCATTAAACAGGGTCAAAGCTTACTGCTTGGGTGGGTACCAATATTAGCTCTCGGTGGCATACTGGTAAGTCTACTTCTGCACCTACTGCTAGTTACCGTACATATTTTATAATCTGAAGGCATCTGGTTACCGTACATATTTTATAATCTGGAGGCATTTGGTTAACTGGCAAGTGAACTACGAAATCTATGAACTTAATCTTGACCCTCTTTGTAACCAGATCTATGTAGCAGCATTCTCCATTGGGTTGGGACCGGTTCCTTGGGTGATAATGTCTGAGGTATGTATCCCTTGACACAAGCACCTTGAAGCTTTTATTTTCTATAAATCATAACGAGGAAAAGATAAACAGAGGGAAGCCCAGGAAAATTATTCTAATTCTAGTCTTCATTTGGCAGGTCTTTCCCATACACGTGAAGGGAACTGCTGGAAGCTTGGTGGTTTTGGTGAACTGGTTGGGAGCTTGGTTGGTTTCGTACACATTCAACTTCCTCATGAGTTGGAGTTCTCCTGGTAAGCACAAACTGCAATAAACTCAGCTGATATAGCTTTGTTATATTGATCTTGTGAGGTTTGCACAATGTTATTGGGGCTAATAATATGAATTGAATCTATGGATTGTGATGGGTACATGTTGTCATTTTACTAATTAGACAACATGTACCCGTCAACTTACGGGTACCTCTCTTATATCACATCAATATTTTTTATTTAAAATAAATAAAATTTATAATAAACTGTATTTCTGACAATCTATGGATAGTACAACTTATTTCTTAGACTCTATGAAATGCAAGAAAAACATGCATAAGCGTATAAAAAAAAAACATGTAAAAATTGAATGACTATCTAGTTTATTTTGTAACTCATGCTTCATTTTCCTTTGTTCAGGTACTTTATTTCTGTATGCTGGATGTTCCCTCTTGACCATTCTATTTGTTGCAAAGTTAGTCCCAGAAACCAAAGGAAAAACTCTAGAAGAGATTCAGGGATGCATCAATTCATAAAGGAAAATGACTAATTAAGAAAGATTTGGATGGGTAAATTCAGGACTTTAGTGTCTCAACTATCTCTGTCTTGTTGAATTTTGACGGTGGAAACTCAAAGCATAAAGAAGGATATCGCCATGGCAGAAAGATACTGTCCAGTGATCACAGGATCATGTATCAAATTCTTTGAGCTTCATTTGATAAAGATGGAGGAAAGCTTCATATAGGCTAGGAACCCAGAAAATCATAAAATGCAGCTACCTTCAGGGCACATGTGAGTTATGGATGAATTTCATTGATGTAATAATGAGTGACAAGTTACTTGAATTGAATGTATTCATTTTATCATATTAGTTTATTATTAAGATTCTTTTTTTCATGGGCAACTCATAGTGCGCATGTCTCTCTCTCCATGTATATATCTATATAGTATTTATTACTCTTATGATCTTATATACAAGTCATTTGTAATATTTTTCACTTTAAACCTTAATAAATCTGACTTAAAATTTAACAAATTTTCCAACTTTAACTCATTTAATATAGACCCTTTCTAAAAAAATAACAATTTCTTCAATAATAAATAAAAGGTAAAACAATACATTTATGTTCAAAATTTAATTATATGATTTATAAATAAGGAAAAAAAAATCTTCTATCTATTTTATAAATAGAATCAAAAGAGTATTATGCTAATAAGGTTGACAAATATAGAGACAATCCCGTAGAATGAGGCTAAGATAACCAAAGAAGAGAAAAATAAAGGTAAAAAAAAGTGTTTGGTTTCATACTAAAAACTATGGTTTTTGTTACTTTTTTTTTTTTATAAATTTAATCAAGGATTTCTCCTTTTGAAGTTTAAAGAATAAAAGATTTTCATCTCTCCCAACAAGTACGCTTCCTAAGATTCGAATTTGTGTTCTTTTTCTTACGAGAATGAAACCGTTTATCACTTCAACCAACTGCTCGTTACTTTTTATTGCTTTCTAATATAAAGTCAAACACACTAAATCATAAAAAAAAAAAAACATCTGTGGTTACATTCTAATAGATAATCAGGATCCGATGTCTTGCATTACTGGGATAAGGTACGAAAAAACTTATATATTGTTTCTTGCTTCATAAGATTATTCTTACTTTCAAGAGATTTTAATTCTATTTATTTTTTTATTAGTTAGTATTTTAAAATTTTTCCAAAAATATATCTATTTCTTGAGCTCTCTAAACGAATTTGTCATCAAGTTGTCTTTTGCAGCACCTATTCACTAGATTTTGTCCCCTCTGATGATGGAAATATGATTATATATTTAGTAAATGCTTTACCATTTTTTGTTTTTTCCCCCTCTCATTAAATATGGTATATTTAGCTTGTTTGATTGGTCCCTCAAAATTCGAACAAGGGAATGGGATGAATTTTGATTTGGAAAAGATATTAACGTAAGAGGATTAGGATATGACTGCATATAAAGCCTATCTTATAATGACCCTTATCTTTTTCAAAATGCCTTGTACGTTATCAATTTTGTGATGTTAAAGTAATTAATCAAATTGCTCCCAACAAGATTAGTCTCAAACTCAAAGTAGCTTGAAAATATTTTGAGTTATATGAAAAAAATTAATTAGATTTTTTTTTGCCAAAAGTAATTAATTAGATTTATGCAATGCATGTGGTCATATCGTAAATAGAAAATGCACAATTTATAATCTGTAAATGCGACTTTATGATATTTTATGTGTTTGTAGATAGGTATGGATTTAATAAATTCTTTTATGAAAAGCAAATTCAAATTAAGTCAAAATCTGCCGATTACGAGCACTCAAATTAAAATAAAATTCCAAGGTAAAAACAATTAAAATAAAACTAACATTACATATGTCCCTAAATCTTAGTTAAAGATGAGGTTGCATTTGATCCTCCATGAGAGTGATGGGTACATGAGTTGTTTTTATTGTGAGAAGGATAAAAAAAATTAAAATGAAATAAAAAGAAGCATATTTGGTACTCTTCCGGTCTTTAATATAAGATCCATTTAACTGATTTGATTAAATTAAGAAAGTTAGGTAAGTTAGTTAATTATAAGAAATATGACATGTTTTTCTTAAAATACCATAATCATCTTCCTTAATATCCTCCATCCCTTTTCTACTTGATTATGATTGAAGGAGTATATAGGAGTAATTTAGAAAAAAATGATAAATCTAAGAAATATATCTATATTTAGAATTAAAATCAACTCAATAATTAGATCATATATTAAAGACTAGAGAAGTAATAAATATGTGATAAAAATGAATGTAATAAACAAAAACTTCTATAACAAGTAATGACAAATTCCTGTAGATATTCGAATTTTTTGTGGTTATATTTTTTTCCAAGAAAAAATTTGGCTTGACATGATGGATTTAATTTTATTTTTTTAACTAATTTACTAATAATTCATTTCTTATTTTTTCCCTTTGTTTTTTTTTTTTTACCTTTGTTTTTTTTTTTAACCTTTATTTTCCCCTGTGCTGAAGCTCTTCATTTTGCTGTGCTCGTTGTTCACAACATCGTCATCGCTTGGCGCGTGCCACGTTTTCCTTAAACCATCGATGACGCACGGACGTATGGTGGCCTTAAAATTGTGGAGGTAGCCTCGTCGGTGTTTTTTTTTTTTTTTTTATTCTGTTATAAAAAAAAAATACATTTTCGTTTTTCACAAAACCAATCCTATAATTATTATATTTCCTTGCGAAGAAAAATCACAGGATGAAATGAAGAGACTTTGACGATTCGCCTGTTCCTTTATTCATTCTACATAAGAGGCGCTTTGAAAATTGAGAACGTGAAACTGAGTAATTTCTGGAGACGGAGTTAGGATATCTGAATGGTGCTGGAGCTTGGATTCCAAGGATTGCGGATTCGAATCAGAAGTAAGCCTTAGTCTTTTCTCAGACTCGGTCGGTATTTTTCCATGTCCAGTTTAGAAATATTGTACGTATGTGCTGAAACTGTTCCATATGCTGGAGTGATCAGGATTTGAGCTTCACTACGTTCACAATCTTTTGATGGCTTTATGATGCACTTTAACTGCCCAGAATTGTGTTTAGGTTCACTTTTTTTTCCCCCTTCATCTACAAAATCTCGCCTGATCAGTGTGGTAGTTGAGTTTTCGAGCTGGATGACTCATGCACGGGACCAACGGTGAAGTTCAATTTACATTTTTGTTGTCCTCAAATTGTTCGCGTTATCCAAAATGGAATTTCGAATACTAGCAGATGAGGTTATTCTTGTGTTAGATGGATGTCGGTGACAACTGGGGGAATCATACTCTATACTGCTAACTCTCTCTTATGGTGTACAAGGGTGTCTCAATTAGCATTTTAATTTTAGTGTGTGTGTGTGTTGTGGGGTTTATACAACTCAAAGTGGCAAAGTAATCTAATTACCTGGGGTTTCCACTTTAAGCGACATATGTGGGTTCTGCA